ATAAAAAAAAAAATAATATAATCTTTAATAAACTCAGATCTGCCATATGTCAGTATTTAAAAGGCTCCCTGTGACTTTGGAGGCAAGTTATTTACTATGCTCCCAGTAAGAAGGGTTTTAACTTTCAAGTGTAAAGTACTTAAAGCTGTGCAGAGGGTGGAGTGAATGGAATGGAGGGGTCCTGTAATCTGATTTATATCTCTGTACATATGTGATGTCTCTTCTTACTGGTGGGATAAGAACTCAGCTGCACTGCAACCTCGCTGATCTCTCCATAATCTTTATGTAACAAAAACATTTAAAGCAGCCTTCAGAAACCAGAGAATGGACTCTTTGGACACTTGTTTTTTTTTTTCTTTCTCAAGGACAGCATATGATTTTTAGTATTCATTTGTTGATGTTTCATATTTTTTGGGGCATCATTCTGGATGTCCGAAGTGGCAATGTGCATTATTCTGGGGTCTTAGTTGTCAGCATGCATTATGTGGGGGTACTAAATGTCAGCAGGTATTGGTACAGTGTCACAAGTATCAGCATGTTTTGTTCTGGGTCCCATGTATCTACATACATTTTTCTGGGGTCCAGAGCATTAGCATGCATTGTTTTCTGTGGTTGAGAGTGTGAGCATGCATCGATCTATGAGGTCCCAAGTGTCAGAATGCATTGTTCTGGCGTCCTTGGTATAAGTATGTATTGTTCTGGATTGACAAATGTTGGCATGCATTTTCATGGGGTCCAGTATATCTGTAGGCATTGTTATAGGGTTCAAATTATCATCAGGCATGGTTTTAAGGTCCCAAGTGTCAGCATGCATTGTTTTGGGGTTCCAGGTGTCAGCAGGCATTGTTTTGGGGTCCCAGGTATTGTTTTGGATTGCCAAGTGTCAGCATGCATTGTTCTGGGGGTCCAGAGTATCTGTAGGCATTGTTCTAGGCTCCAAAGTATCATCAGGCATGATTTTGGGGTCCCAAATGTCAGCAGGCATTGTTCTGGGGTCCCAGGTATTGTTTTGGATTGCCAAGTGTCAGCATGCATTGTTCTGGGGTCCAGAGTATCTGTAGGCATTGTTCCAGCATCCAAAGTATCATCAGGTATGATTTTGGGGTCCTAAATATCAGCAGGCATTGTTTTGGGTCTGAAATATCAGCAGGCATTATTTTAGGGATCTTAACTTTCAGAAGGCATTGCTATGACACATGGACACATGTCTGCTTACACCTGCCGCTCCATAGAGGAAAATGGAGGTTCTGATCGGGTCCACCTACCCATTTTTCAGGAACGTTGACGGGTGTAAATGGTCACATGTCTGTTTACACCCACCGCTCCATAGAGGAGAATGGAGGTTCTGATCGGGTCCGCCTACCCGTTTTTCAGGAACATCCGTTTGAAAGAGCCCTATAGGGTTAGATAAACTGTCTCTCACACTAATACCAGACAAACACCGGGTAGATTTACTAAAATTGGTGCTCTTATAATCTGGCGCAGCTGTGCATGGTAGCCAATCAGCTTCTAACTTCAAGAGAATAGTAAAATATATATAGTAAGCGCTCTCAATAATTATAGCAGCTGAACATTAAAGGAAAACGCATAAAAGTCCCAAAATACATATATAAACAAAATGCAGCGCTGTTAGAAGATGATATGAAGTAATAGTGAAACACAGTCCACTGAAAAAGTGCTCCTTGATTCCCAGTGCAAACGGTAGAAATACACACTAACCAGAAAGCGTATAAGTAATACGCATGTGAACATATATCCTGAAGACTCCCCTCTCCTTTCTGGTCTGGTCATAGGAATAGCTGGGAAAGATGGAAATCCTACGCCCTCATGTGGTGAAAGAGTGGTCCAGCAGGTCAGAAAAGGATCAATCTGGATAAGCCTCCCCCTTCACAGGAGCTGACACAGGGATCACTTGGGGCTGTAAGGGTTGAAGAAGCTCCTCACAGGAGACATAGGGAAGCACTCATAGTGTAGTAGGTATAGATTTAATTTAGAAAACATCGGTGCATAGTAAACATAATAGTGCCAAGTATGGATGAACACACTGACCCCTTAAGAAATCAAGATGGCCACCGGGCCTCCACGTGGCGCCGGCGGCTTAATGTCAACGGCGTCCTGGGCTCCCCCTGACGTGTTTCGTGCGCACGCACTTCTTCAGAGGTAGAGCATAGAAACGCGTCAGAGGGAGTCCAGGACGCCGTTGACATTAAGCCCCCGGCGCCACGTGGAGGCCCGGCGGCCATCTTGATTTCTTAAGGGGTCAGTGTGTTCATCCATACTTGGCACTATTATGTTTACTATGCACCGATGTTTTCTAAATAAAATCTATACCTACTACACTATGAGTGCTTCCCTATGTCTCCTGTGAGGAGCTTCTTCAACCCTTACAGCCCCAAGTGATCCCTGTGTCAGCTCCTGTGAAGGGGGAGGCTTATCCAGATTGATCCTTTTCTGACCTGCTGGACCACTCTTTCACCACATGAGGGCGTAGGATTTCCATCTTTCCCAGCTATTCCTATGACCAGACCAGAAAGGAGAGGGGAGTCTTCAGGATATATGTTCACATGCGTATTACTTTATACGCTTTCTGGTTAGTGTGTATTTCTACCGTTTGCACTGGGAATCAAGGAGCACTTTTTCATTGGACTGTGTTTCACTATTACTTCATATCATCTTCTAACAGCGCTGCATTTTGTTTATATAGCTTCTAACTTCAGCTTGTGTTAATTAAGCTTTGACAATAAATCCTGGAAGCCGATTGGTTTCTGTACAGAGCTGATCCAGATTTTCCACTCTCCAGCTTTAGTAAATAACCCCCAATGTCTTTGGTGTATCAATGCTGAAATACTCTCATTCAGTTTGGGAGCCCCCATGGGAAGGCTGAGCGCACTGTGATGCAGAGGGCCATAACTATAACCTGAGTAGGAGGTAGGCTCTAATCATGGGAGAGCTTATAAGGGGTGGAGGGTCTAGTGTGTCAAAATCCAAGAACAAAAACTGTATATATTGCCTTTTTACCCCTTAGATGTGGCGGCTGCACCCATTTTCTTAATATGGGATTCCTTTTCTTTAATTTTTCAACTTGTGATTCTGCCAATAACACACTTCCTGTCCTAGAGGGACAATGTTCACTGTCTGTATGGTATCAATGATGGAGCAGCATTGTCACCCTGGGGCAGGGCTAGAGAAAACCTCTCTGTACTCTATTCTATACAATAACAGGGGAAGGGTTCTGTAGCTCTTAAAGCGGAGTTCTACTCAACCTGTCAAAAAATAAAAGTCAGCAGCTCCAAAAACTGTAGCTGCTGAATTTAAAAAAAACCAGCCACTTACCTGTCCCTCGGTCCCACGGTGTGGTCCCCTGCAGCCCGTTTCACCGGCCGTCCTGTATTCCAGGAGGCCGGCATCTTCAGTGTGGGCACCCGGCTGTGATAGCTTGCGGCTTCACAGCAGGGTGCCTACTGCGCATGTGCGAGTAGTGCTGAGCTTCATAAATGGTTCTGTAGTCTTCTGGGACCCGTCACATGTCCCAAAAGACTACAGGGAGGGAGGGACGGAGGACACCTTCCGCTTCCGATTGCCTAGGCCAGAGGTAGGCAACCTGCGGCTCTCCAGCTGTTGCAGGACTACAAGTTCCATCATGCCTCTGCAAGTTATAGATGTAACTGTTAATTTTGCAATGCCTCATGGGAAATGTAGTTCCACAACAGCTAGAGAGCCGCAGGTTGCCTACCCCTGGCCTAGACGATCGGACCAGAAGTGGGAGCGGGGACCTGTCAAATTCGGGTACCCGCTCCCCCCCCCCGCCCCCCAAAGGTGCCAATCCTTAATGGGGAGCGGGGAAGCAGTCCTTAAAGTGGAACTTCCTCTTTTGGGTGGTGCTCCACTTTAAGTCTAGTACACACTATGAGAAAATCAGGTGAAAAATATCGCTTTCGTGGCAATCATCACATAATCTTTTTGTTAGCACACAACTTTCCAGAGCCGATCACGACAGTACGTGCAAAGTTATCCGAAGGAAGAAACACAAAACGTTTTTGCGTACGATAACAGAACGAGCGATTTCTAATGAGTACATTATTTGTCCGTATAAAATCGAGTGACCGAAACCGCGCATGCTCAGGAACAAAAGAATACATTACATTACTTTTGAAGTTGCCTTACCAGAATTTTCATAACTTTAGTATCCTCTTCATTTTCAATATGAGACTAGCATGCAAAAAAAAAACAAAACAAAACAAAAAAAAAAACACAAAAACAGGCGATCATTCATCTAGATATTCTCATGTTATGTACGAGGCATTAGAGATAGCTGAGAACAATGTAACTGATGACTGCGTGGCAGGCAGAGAGCAAGCTATCATCTGACAACATTTCTAGAAGGATCAAAAGGTATTTTTTTCAAACAGAGAAACCTTTGAATAACAGAACACCTTTAATGATATATTTAACAGACCAAATGGGTGCCAAAAACAGAAGTTCATTGTTAGGGTTTGCATTTGTTTTATTAAATTGAAAACTAAAGGCTGAAAATTTTCATTTTAATAGCCAGTCGGTTTCAGGGGAAGTCCTTTGAACCTGACTTGATGTCTCAGTGAAGATGGTGGATACAGGTACAGAGGCTCATCTGTCAGACGGCTGTCCTATGAACATTTATGCTCAGCTCATCCGAACATAGACATTTATGTGAATAGAAAGAGGTAGGAGTGTTTAGAGCCCTCACAGGGCCCATTTCAGACTGGTTGGGTCTTTTTTCCCCCCAAATGTTGGGAGGATCCTGTATGTATTCCTATGACTAGTTTTACTCCTTAAGTACAGTTGTACCAAAATGAACGCTCTGCCACCCTTCCTCACCCGGGGAATGAATCTACACCTCCAGCCCATCTGCTTACTTATCCTAGTAGCTCAGCTCTGATAGGCTCCAATGTTCTCAGCCTCTCCAGCAGGAATCCTTTCAGTATAGCACAGCCCTATGCAGTGAGCCCAGTGGAAGTATAGGGCCTTACCCTGTGTCCAGCCCCATACAAATCCACGAGGTCTCATTCATCTCCTATACTAAGCACCCAACAGCCCCTGTACTAGTGGGAGGCACGGCCCCTTCCTTCAGTCTCTGCCTATCTCCTGCTGGAGGTATCTATATTACAAAGTACAAAGGTCTGACAGTATCATGTTTCAGAAACCAGTGGAGTTGTTTAGGGGGCACTTCACTGGGGTACTGTGTATTATATACTTAAAGTGTTACTAAACCCAGGACCCTGCATTCACTATATCTGGTCCCCGGACCCTGCATTCACTATCCATCTGGTCTCCCCGGACCCTGCATTCACTATATCTGGTCTCCCCGGACCCTGCATTCACTATATCTGGTCTCCCCGGGACCCTGCATTCACTATATCCGGTCTCCCAGGACCCTGCATTCACTATATCCGGTCTCCCCGGACCCTGCATCACCACTATATCACCGGTCTCCCCGGACCCTGCATTCACTATATCCGGTCTCCCCAGACTCTGCATTCACTATATCCGCTCTGTCTCCCCGGCACCCTGCATTCATTATATCCCACTCTCCCTGTACACTGCATTCACTATATCCGGTCTCCGCGGACCCTGCATTCACTATATCCACTCCACTCCCCGGACCCTGCATTCACTATATCTGGTCTCCCCGGGCCCTGCATTCACTATATCCACTCTCCCCGGACCCTGCATTCACTATATCTGGTCTCCCCGGGCCCTGCATTCACTATATCCAGTCTCCCAGGATCCTGCATTCACTGTATCCAGTGTCCCCGACCCTGCATTCACTATATCCGGTCTCCCAGGATCCTGCATTCACTATATCCGGTCTCCCAAGACCCTGCATTCACTATATCTGGTCTCCCGGGCCCTGCCCAGGATCCTGCATTAACTGTATCCAGTGTCCCCGGACCCTGCATTCACTATATCTGGTCTCCCAGGATCCTGCATTCACTATATCCCCCGGACCCTGCATTCACTATATCCGGTCTCCCCCAGGACCCGGCATTCACTATATCCGGCTCTCCCCAGACCCCGCATTCACTATATCCGGTCTCCCCAGACCCCGCATTCACTATATCCGGTCTCCCCAGCATTCCCCGCGTTCACTATATATCCGGTCTCCCCGGACCCCGCATTCACTATATCCGGTGAGTAAGAGATGTTCGCTTGAAAAAGGGGAGAAGCAGAGAAGACAGGATCAAACAGCCTTTTTACACAATGCGGAGGATTAAACCCTTAGGTTCCACAGTGAGTATAACAAGCATGCTTTACTACATCTACAGACTGATTGTACTGTTGTGGGTTTAGTAACACTTTAATTTAAAAAAAAAAAAAAAATTGTAATTTGAGTCCCTCTGTAACCCCAGCAGGAGCCAGCCCTGAGGACAACTGAATGTCAGAAGCTGATAGGTGGGCTTCCCCTTGTGATCACTGTGATAGGCTGTTACAGTGATCACAAGAGGATCAGGAGCCCACCTTACCCAGTCCTAACCCTAAGCAGTGATTGGAGTGGTCGGTGACCGCACTGTCACAGTACTGGGGGGCCAAGTGAGCACGTATGTGGCAGCACAGCGTTAAAGCCCATTTCTGAGCTGCGACATATGTGTTTGGCTGGCAGGAAGGGATTAAACACAAAGCAACAGGCTGACTTTAATCCCTCCATATACCCCCAAAGGTGCTCCACTTAGTACAGGAAGCTAAAGGAAATACGCAGTATGAAGGAGCATGTGACTCACGCCATGTGACACTGCCGGGCCAATCAGTGCTATCACAAGGGGAGGCTATAGCCCTTTGTAAGCTTCAACTCCAGCGACTTGCAGCTTATACAAAGCAGCAGAAGGGAGCATCGGGGAGGAAGGAAGGTGAAAGCTGCTGGGGAGGGCCGAGTGAACCTGGGGCATGCTTGGTAGGATGAATAGACTGATTGGTGGATAGCTGGCCGGTGAGTCAATCTGCACAAGGTGTACTTATAGCAGATCCTTTAAGATGTGATCCACGGCTTCCGGGAAACTTGCACAGGTCAGGTGTGGCGCCGGCTCTATTTTCTGTTCATCTCCTTCTCTGTATTTTCCTGTTAAACATGAAAACAGTTAATTTTTGAGTTGTACTGATTGACGCAAAGACTAAAAACTGGACAGTTCAGATGTAATAACGAAAATTAGGATAATGATTGCCGAGTCCTTGTGTAACCGGGATCTTCACACTTTGACACACAGGATTTATATATTATTATTATTATATATATTTATATATTATTTATTTATACAGGATTTATATGGCGCCAACAGTTTGCTCAGCACTTTACAATATAACGGGAGACAATACAGCAACAATACAGATCAATACAAGAGGGATAGGAGGGCCCTGATCCTGGGAGCTTACAATCTAAGAGGGAGGGGCTGGTGGTACAAAATGTAATAACTGTGGGGGATGGACTGGTAGGAGGAATAGAAGATTTCAGTATTAGCTGAGGGCAGGACAGGCTTCGCTGAAGAGATAGGTTTTCAGAGACCGCCTAAAAGTGAGCAGAGTAGGTGATAGTCTGATAGATTGGGGTAGAAAGTTCCAGAGGATGGGGAAGCTCTGGAGAAGTCCTGGAGACGAGCATGGGAGGAGGAGACAAGGGAGCTAGAGAGCAGGAGGTCGTGCGAGGAGTGGAGAGGACGGTTTGGGTGAAGATTGGTGATGTAGACACTATGGCCGGTTTGCACTTTTTCAGTGAATTGCATTAGCGCCCATGTATTAACGTTTGCTGCTTTATTCAAATGAATGGGCTTCACAGTGAGAGCTGTGAAAACGTGGAATAGACTGCCTCAAGAGTTGCTTCTGGCCAGCTCAGTGGATTGCTTTAAAAAAGTCCTGGATTCTTTCTTGGATACACAGAATATAACTGGATATAACATTTATAGGTAACGTTGATCCAGGGAATATCCGATTGCCTCTCGGGGGATCAGGAAGGAATTTTTCCCCTGCAGGATCAAATTGGATCATGTTTTGCTGGGTTTTTTTGCCTTCCTCTGGATCAACTGTGGGTGTAGGATTATGACTTTTTTTTTTTTTTTTTTTTTTTCTATGGTTGACCTGGATGGACTTTTGTCTTTTTTCAGCCAGACTAACTATGTAACTATGTAATGGGCTGGCAATGCTCCAAAATGTCCACAAAAATGGACAGGCAGCATTCCTGGCAATGCAGTGCACCACAACGCATGGTATTCCATCACTGTGCATTGTGGTGTATTGCAACACATGAGCTCTCAGTTAAAATGAATGGCAATGCACTGTTGCATCAGAGCAACGGTGTGTTACCACGATGCACTGCAGTGGAAAAGTGTGAGCTTAAATCTCTGAAAGTGTAACACACACTTGTGCATTTGGTTGTGTTGTGCTAACATGCATCTAACTGCAGAGCTTGAGTCAAGTGTGAGCGCTTTATGGTGTCATTCATTTTGATTGGCATTGCAGTGCACCAAGGCAACACTGGTTCAATGTAGGTGTTTCAGCGTACCACCACTGCGTGAGAAAAATATGCTGCAATCTGTTGTTTGGTTCTGTGCATTGGCAGCCCATTTAAATGAATAGGCTGCCTTAATGTAACGCATGTAGCCACGTGACACAGTGGGGTTGATTTACTAAAACTGGAGAGTGCAAAATCTGGTGTGGCTGTGCACGTTAGCCAATCAGCTTCCTGTTATTTTTGTCAACGCTTAATTAGCCCTTTGAAGACGTGCTCGGGCACGAAACGCGTTTGGAGGAGCCTAGCTGTGTATGTCACACCGCTGAGGCTGTCAGGAAGGCCAGCGGTCATCTTTGGAACCTCATGCTTGCCAGTATTTTTGCCAGATGTGAGTGCATTCTATGTTAATACACAATACCTAGTGCAGTATTTTTTATTCTGAATATCAAGTACTTTTTTGGCTTGTTATTACACGAGCCTTTTAAGGTGGATACTATTATACGATTTGTGGGTCCCTGTCCATCGGTCATGAACATATGAGATGTCCCTGGAGAATGTGCGTATGGTCCATTAACCCCTTCTCGCCGGCGCCTCCCAGCCCTTTAAGCGTTTCAGAAGCCGGGAGGCGGGGGGTGGTTTAGGGATCATGTGACCGTGTCGTCACGGCGGTCACATGATCAGGAAAGGTCCCAATCGAAAGAGCAGACCGGGACATTTCCGTGAGTACCGGACATGTGTGCTGGGAGCGAGCAGGCCGCGCGCTTTCAGCACATATGTTTTTTTTCTTACCTGAACGCAAATGTGCGGCGCTCGGCATCTAGGCCCAGACGCCGGGTGCGGCCAGCGTAAAGGGGTTAATCAACTTGTATGCTGACGTGTGCCAGATGTTTGCCTTGGTCCTATCCACATCCAGATGACTATGATGGAATTTACTTTTTACACAAATGCGCAAAAAGATTGCGCTTCTGGTTAGTGCATTCACATTACCATTCTCTTATTACTCAAGTCACGGAATTGAATTATTACTTCAGTGGACTTCATATTCACCACCATTGTCACTTGACTACAGTCTATTGATTATTGATCATTGATTATTGTTCTATTTATACGCCAAAATTGGACGATTTATGATCTTTTTCACTTCTATGCCTGCTGGCGCTTGTACATACTTCACTTGTATTACTATTTATCATTTTAGCGCTGCATGCATTTTATGAGAGTTTTTAGAGGGTAGGAGGTATACTTTGATGCTGTCAGCTTCTTACCCAGCGCTCCTTCTATATCATTTCATATGGCTTAATTGAACAAGCTGAAGTTAGAAGCTGATTGGCCGCCATGCACAGCTGCATCAGATTTTGCACTCTCCAGTTTTAGTAAATCCCCCTTTATGTCCGATGGTACCTGAGCCTTCCCTTTACCTACAAGTAATGAACTCCTAGAAGTAAATGAAGTGGAACTTTACCAATAACAACTTGATAAAAAATAATGCTCTTTAGCAAGGAAAATACATTCCGCATTAATAATTATGCTACCAAAATTAATGTGTGCTGTAAATTCCCTCCAGCATTGTTCCCGTCTCTTCTTGCTGGAGGCTGCCATTTTGCTGAAGCCCAGAGCCCCTGAGCAGCAGTGAATCTTTAGGTTGTCAGCAGATCGGCCTCTACAAATTCAGCACAGTGCTGAAAAATAGAGAGCAACTGAGCATGTGCAGAGCAGGGCGAGACAGTATATTGTTGGATTTTAAACAGTATAGGCACCTATTTGTTTTACATTGCTCTACCTGCAAAAGGGGCCGGACTGAAGTGATCTAGCAGGACCAGGGGCGGACTGACCATTTGGAAACTCGGGCACTGCCCGAGGGCCCGGGGTCAGTAGGGGGCCCCATGAGATGCCCCTGGTACCTTTTTCATAGGCTTTTTTGAGTTTGGGCAAGGACACAAGGGCCCCATGATCCCCTATTGCCCGGGGGCCCCATGAGTTGTCAGTCCACCCCTGAGCATGACTTAATTTTCTGACTTAAAGCGAAGCTCCACCCAAAAGGGGAAGTTCCGCTTTAAGGACTGCTCCCCAGCTCCCCATTGATTGGCATCTTTGGGGGGCAGGTACCCGAATTTGACAGGTACCGGCTCCCAATTGCACTTGGACTGCCTAGGCAATTGGAAACGGAAGGTGTCCTCCTTTCCTCCCTCCCTGTAGTCTTCTGGGACACGTGACAGGTCCCAGAAGACTACAGGACCATTCATGAAGCGCAGCACTACTGGCGCATGCGCAGTGGGTACCCGGCTGTGAAGCCGCAAGCTATCACAGCCGGGTGCCCACACTGAAGATGCCGGCTTCTGGAATACAGGACGGCTGGTGAAATGGGCTGCGGGGGACATACCGAGGGACAGGTAAGTGACTGTTTTTTAAAAGTCAGCAGCTACAGTTTTTATATCTGCTGACTTTTATTTTTTGACAGCGTGAGTGGAACTCCGCTTTACTCCTATAATGCCCATCCTGCACAGGGACCAATGCTGGAAACACAAGTACCACAGGGATGCTGGCACCAAAAATAACTAATGCCGCAGACTCCTAGGTGGATTCTTCTCTGTATTATACTGACATGATGCCCCGCCCCTTCCCATGACCACCCTCCGCTGTCATGCAGATGCAAAATGTTGTAACATGGCTTCATAGATGGGGAGAAGGACACACACGGAGCACAGTACATATACACTCACCGCCTTCTGTATTAGATATACACCTGTTCAGTTGCTTGGTAACATAAATTGCTAATCAGCCAATCACATGGCAGCAACTCAATGCATTTAGGCGTCTAGGCATGGTGAAGACAACTTGATGAACTTCAAACTGAGCATCAGAATGGGGGAAGAAATGGAATTTAAGTGACTTTGAACGTAGCATGGTTGTTGGTGGTGGCAGACTGACTGAATTACAAAAACTGCTGATCTACTGGGATTTTCACACACAACCATCTCTAAGGTTTACAGAGAATGGTCGGAAAAAGAGAAAATATCCAGTGAGTGGCAGTTGTGTGGATGAAAATGCCTTGTTGATGTCAGAGGAGAATGGGCAGACTGGTTCAAGAGGATAGAAAGGCAACAGTAACTCCAATGACCACCACTCGTTACAACCAAGGTATGCAGAATACCATCTCTGAACGCACAACACGTCGAACCTTGAAGCAGATGGGCTACAGCAGCAGAAGACCACACTGGGTGCCACTCCTGTCAGCTGAGAACAGGAAATGGAGGCTAAAATTCACACAGGATCACCAAAATTTGACAATAGAAGATTGGAAAAACTTTGCCTGATCTGATGAGTCTCGGTTTAAGCTGTGACAGATGGTAGGGTCAGAATTTGGCGTAAATAACATGAAAGCATGGATCCATCCTGCTTGTATCAACAGTTCAGGCTGGGGGTGTCATGGTGTGGTGGATCCATCCTGCCTTGTATCAGTGGTTCAGGCTGGTGGTGTCATGGTGTGGTGGATCCATCCTGCCTTGTATCAGTGGTTCAGGCTGGGGGTGTCATGGTGTGGAGGATCCATCCTGCCTTGTATCAATGGTTCAGGCTGGGGGTGTCATGGTGTGGTGGATCCATCCTGCCTTGTATCAATGGTTCAGGCTGGTGGTGGTGGTGTCATGGTGTGGTGGATCCATCCTGTCTTGTATCAACGGTTCAGGCTGGGGGTGTCATGGTGTGGAGGACCCATCCTGCCTTGTATCAACGGTTCAGGCTGGGGGTGATGTCATGGTGTGGAGGACCCATCCTGCCTTGTATCAATGGTTCAGGCTGGTGGTGGTGGTGTCATGGTGTGGTGGATCCATCCTGCCTTGTATCAATGGTTCAGGCTGGTGGTGGTGGTGTCATGGTGTGGTGGATCCATCCTGCCTTGTATCAGTGGTTCAGGCTGGTGGTGGTGGTGTCATGGTGTGGAGGATCCATCCTGTCTTGTGTCAACGGTTCAGGCTGATGTGTCATGGTGGTGCCTTGTGTAATGGTATGGGGGAGATTTTCTTGGCACACTTTCGGCCCCTTAGTACCAACTGAGCATCATTTAAATGCCACGGCCTACCTGAGTATGGTTGCTGGCCATGTCCATCCCTTTCTGACTCCAGTGTCCCCATCTTCTGATGGCTCCTTCCAGCAGGATAATGCTCCATGTCACAAAGATCAAATCATCTCAAACTGGTTTCTTGAACATGACAATGAGATCACTGGACTCCAATGGCCTCCACAGTCACCAGATCTCCATCCAATAGAGCACCTTTGGGATGTGGTGGAATGGGAGATTCCCATCATGGATGTGCAGCCGACAAATCTGCAGCAACTGCGTGATGCCATCATGTCAATATGGACCAAAATCTCTGAGGAATGTTTCCAACACCTTGTTGAATCTACACCATGAAGAATGAAGGCAAAAGGGGGTCCAACCCGGAACTAGCAAAGTGGACCCACTAAAGTGTCCGTTGAGTGTATGTGCCGGGGTTATGTTCCCAGATACTCACCTGTTCTAACTAGGATGCCCAACATTCCGGTGTTCTGTGCCCCTCCGATGTCATCCCTGGAGTCCTGCATAGAGAAAGCAGAAAATGGTTCAATATCCATCTATGTTTTATTTATTGTTACACCAGTTCTGGCTTTTATACAGAAGTGAGCGGATGCATTTGTGTCGTGTTTATCACACATTCACATTGACTTATATGGGGGGGAAAAGCAAACTAATCTACTGACACCAGTCCATCCCAAAAGCCCATTCACACTAGGCTAGGCTTTGTACATACGGGATTCAGTATCTGGAGACCAGCGTGTACACATAGCCTTTCTTTCATTACCCCATTATGAGGGGTTCCCACCATCCCTGTGCTGAGTTCCTGGGTCTGTACACCCGCTGTGCCCATTATGAGGGGTCCCCACCATCCCTGTACTGAGTTCCCGGGTCTGTATATCCGCTGTGCCCATTATGAGGGGTTCCCACCATCCCTGTGCTGAGTTCCCAGGTCTGTACACCCTCTGTTCCCATTATGAGGGGTTCCCACCATCCCTGTGCTGAGTTCCCGGGACTGTACACCCGCTATGCCCATTATGAGGGGTTCCCACCATCCCTGTGCTGAGTTCCCGGGTCTGTACACCCGCTGTGCCCATTATGAGGGGTTCTCACCATCCCTGTGCTGAGTTCCCGGGTCTGTACACCCGCTGTGCCCATTATGAGGGGCTCCCACTATCACTGTGCTAAGTACCCAGGTCTGTACCCCTGCTGTGCCCATTATGAGGGTTCCCACCATCCCTGTGCTGAGTTCCCGGGTCTGTACCCCTGCTGTGCCCATTATGAGGGGTTCCCACCATCCCTGTGCTGAGTTCCCGAGTCTGTACCCCTGCTGTGCCCATTATGAGGGGTTCCCACCCCTGTGCTGAGTTCCCGGGTCTGTACCCCTGCTGTGCCCATTATGAGGGGTTCCCACCATCCCTGTGCTGAGTTCCCGAGTCTGTACCCCTGCTGTGCCCATTATGAGGGGTTCCCACCATCCCTGTGCTGAGTTCCCAGGTCTGTACACCTGCTGTGCTCATTATGAGGGGTTCCCACTATCACTGTGCTAAGTACCCGGGTCTGTACCCCTGCTGTGCCCATAATGAGGGGTTCCCACCATCCCTGTGCTGAGTTCCCGGGTCTGTACCCCTGCTGTGCCCATTATGAGGGGTTCCAATCATCTCTGTGCTGAGTTCTCAGGTCTGTACACCCACTATGCCCATTATGAGGGGTTCCCACCATCCCTGTGATGAGTTCCCAGGTCTGCACACCTGCTGTGCCCATTATGAGCCGTTCCCACCATCCCTGTGCTGAGTTTCCAGGTCTGTACACCCGCTGTGCCTATTATGAGGGGTTCCCACCATCCCTGTTTTTATCCTTTATCATGGAGGATGTAACAGGATGATTTAGGACACATAGAGGTGGATGGAAACACCCATAAATCCCAAGTGGACAGGAACAGACTGGGAATTGCGGCGGGGAATATCCAAGACACCTACGAATTTTGGGGCTTACTCAGTTCCAGGATGCTCTACTTATTACTAAAATATGTTTAGGGGATGGATCTATAAAGCTTTCCACATCCCGCCTACCATGATCAATCCGTTCCTAGATTGTAAGCTCGTAAGAGTAGGGCCCTCTTCCGTACGCTGTCTGTCTTTGTTGTACTGTGCCATGTATTGTCCCCCCCTATTGTACATCAAAACCCTTTGGCCTATATAAACTCGTAGTAATAATAATAATAATAATACATCAGTGTACAATGCGATCTATTGGGGGGGGGGACGCTGGTTTCTTGCACTTCTCTGCATATTCAGCACTTGGCTGTGAACTCTCTGTTTGTGGAGGTAATGGCAAAAAAAGACCACTAGAGGTCAGTGCTGCACTGCAGACTTTGGCTGCTGCTGTATGCTGGATGGGCAGTTAAGGTCCCCCCCCCCCCCCCAGTCTGTATAAAGGCGACCATACACAGCGATTTATAACCGATCTAGGGACCACCACACACTAACAAGCGAATCGACAAAACTCTGCCACGGCCAATCAACGCGGCACAATGGAAATCAATTGAGAGCTCCCAAAACCATTCCAACTTGGGGCCCCTGCTTTGTGATTTTCATTGACATCAATCAGATCCGATCTCACCCCTGTACACCCCCACAGCAACCTTTACATATTTGTCATATTACATATGCCTGGAGTTTTTCTTTTTAGGACCAACAAGGATTTCCTTTGGTGATGTTGTCTTTCAAAAATATGACCTGATGCTGGGTTTGTTATTTTTCTGTAACTCTGTTCAGCTAGTGTTGTGATCCAGGCACCCCTGTCAGACAGCACAGCCAGGACACAAGGAGAAAGAGCAGTAGTGACTGATCCTAATTACAGGAAGCATCTGCAGAGAAGCAGCATTTCACCCGGGATTACTGCACAGATCTGAAATAAATACACAGAGCACACCTAAGATTCAAGTTCCTCCGCAGCCTCACCCTATAAATGGACAGTAAACTTTGCCAATCTGCTCTCTCCTCCTATCAACATGCTGCTTGCACTACAGTACAACTGATTGGTTCTTTGTGCTGCTTCTTCCTCAACTAGTTGGAGCTCTGTACAGTATGGAGTAATTATGGATTTGTGGATACTTGAAATTAACCCTGGCATTTGTTTATTGAATGAGCTAAGTCTGGAGGAACTCCCAGTACTCACCAGCAGAAGCCCTCTTCAGTATTCTAAAAGGCAGAGAATATTATAAATTTGGTGAGTGCACACCCGAGTGGGGGCACACTGTGAGCACTGTGTATGTTTTTTCAACACCGTATGATTTCTATCACGGGAAAACTTTCATCACTGGACTTTATTTATTTATTTTTGTATCACTGGACTTTGTTTACTGGACTTTGTTTATTTTTGTATCACGGGACTTTATTTATTTATCACGGGACTTTTATTTTTGTATCACTGGACTTTGTTAATTTATTTTTGTATCACTGGACTTACTTTGTTATTTTTGTATCACTGGACTAACTTTGTTTATTTTTGTATCACTGGACTAACTTTGTTTATTTTTGTATCACTGGACTTTGTTTATTTTTGTATCACTGGACTTTGTTTACCCCCTTTTTGTATCACTGGACTTTGTTTATTTTTGTATCACTGGACTTTGTTTATTTTTGTATCACTGGACTTTGTTTATTTTTGTATCACTGGACTTTGTTTATTTTTGTATCACTGGACTTTGTTAATTTAACAAGGCCTTTTTGTATCACTGGACTTTGTTTATTTATTTATCACTGGACTTTGTTTTTGTATCACTGGACTTTGTTAATTTATTTTTGTATCACGGGACTTTGTTAATTTATTTTTGTATCACGGGACTTACTTTGTTTATTTTTGTATCACTGGACTTTGTTTATTTTTGTATCACTGGACTTTGTTTATTTTTGTATCACTGGACTTTGTTTATTTTTGTATCACTGGACTTTGTTTATTTTTGTATCACTGGACTTTGTTTATTTTTGTATCACTGGACTTTGTTTATTTTTGTATCACTGGACTTTGTTAATTTATTTTTGTATCACTGGACTTACTTTGTTTATTTTTGTATCACTGGACTAACTTTGTTTATTTTTGTATCACTGGACTTTGTTTATTTATGTTTATCACTGGACTTTATTTTTGTATCACGGGACTTTGTTAATTTATTTTTGTATCACGGGACTTTGTTAATTTATTTTTGTATCACGGGACTTACTTTGTTTATTTTTGTATCACTGGACTTTGTTTATTTTTGTATCACTGGACTTTGTTTATTTTTGTATCACTGGACTTTGTTTATTTTTGTATCACTGGACTTTGTTTATTTTTGTATCACTGGACTTTGTTTATTTTTGTATCACTGGACTTTGTTTGTTTATTTTTGTATCACTGGACTTTGTTTATTTTTGTATCACTGGACTTTTTTAATTTATTTTTGTATCACTGGACTTACTTTGTTTATTTTTGTATCACTGGACTAACTTTGATTTTTATTTTTGTATCACTGGACTTTTTGTAATTTATTTTTGTATCACTGGACTTTGTTTATTTTTGTATCACTGGACTTTGTTTATTTTTGTATCACTGGACTTTGTTTTTGTATCACTGGACTTTGTTAATTTATTTTTGTATCACGGGACTTTGTTAATTTATTTTTGTATCACGGGACTTACTTTGTTTATTTTTGTATCACTGGACTTTTTTGTTTATTTTTGTATCACTGGACTTTGTTTATTTATTTTGTATCACTGGACTTTTTTTTATTTTTGTATCACTGGACTTTGTTAATTTATTTTTGTATCACTGGACTTTTTTAATTTATTTTTGTATCACGGGACTTTGTTAATTTATTTTTGTATCACTGGACTTACTTTGTTTATTTTTGTATCACTGGACTTTTTTGTTTATTTTTGTATCACTGGACTTTTTTGTTTATTTTTGTATCACTGGACTTTTTTAATTTATTTTTGTATCACTGGACTTTTTTAATTTATTTTTTTTAACTTTTTTTATTTTTGTATCACTGGACTTTGTTTATTTTTGTATCACTGGACTTTTTGTTTATTTTTGTATCACTGGACTTTTTTAATTTATTTTTGTATCACTGGACTTTTTTAATTTATTTTTGTATCACTGGACTTTTTTAATTTATTTTTGTATCACTGGACTAACTTTTTAATTTATTTTTGTATCACTGGACTTTTTTTAATTTATTTTTGTATCACTGGACTTTTTTAATTTATTTTTGTATCACTGGACTTTTTTAATTTATTTTTGTATCACTGGACTTTTTTAATTTATTTTTGTATCACTGGACTTACTTTGTTTATTTTTGTATCACTGGACTAACTTTGTTTATTTTTTGTATCACTGGACTTTGTTTCATTTTTGTATCACTGGACTTTGTTTATTTTTGTATCACTGGACTTTGTTTATTTTTTTTGTATCACTGGACTTTGTTTATTTTTGTATCACTGGACTTTTTTATATTTATTTTTGTATCACTGGACTTACTTTGTTTATTTTTGTATCACTGGACTTTGTTTATTTTTGTATCACTGGACTTTGTTTATTTTTGTATCACTGGACTTTATTTGTTTTATCACTACGTTTGTTTTGCTCACTATAGTGGGTTGATTTGATCACTGTTTTTTTTGGTCACTGTGAATTGATTTATCTATTTATTTTATATATTTATATAATTTTCACTAAAAGATATTTTGAAGATATATGATAAATTAGTTGAGACAGGAGATAAAAAAAAAAAAATCATTTTTAGGGGGAGGGAAGGGGGAGGGGTTAAGTGTTGTGTACTTTTTTTTTTTTACATTTTCTAAACATTTTGTACAATAAAATTTATTTTTCTTCACTTAGGGGAGACAAATTCTATGTGATGATTGTTCTTTTTGGTGACAGGTTTATATTAATGAGACATCAGGGGCCTCACCAGCCCTCCAATGCAGATAATAAAGTGCAGATCTTGCTCCACTAGCTTCTAAGTGACACCGGGACCCAGAAGTGACATTTTACACATCATTTCGGGGTTATTAGCTGGAAGGGGAGATCAGAGGTCACTGATCCTTCTACTAAACCAGTCCCAGAACAACCAATGGGTGTGTGGATCCCAGGAAACATGGCGGGGCATGCACAGGAAAGGGGAAGGGGGGGAGGACTAGAACTTACGGGAGTGGGTTGAAGCGATCTGGCAGCTACATAGTCACCAAATTGCTTTTATCTGACTACTGCCTTGTCAGAATTACACACACTCCTGGCGGCTGAAGTATTGCAAAACTATTTGCCGCCACTGACTTGCAGGGGCAGCTGCTGGGATCTCAGTTCCTACTGACATAGGCACACCCCCAGAACTACATCTCACAAAAGCCCTTCCCTTGCACACAGTGAGAGTAAAGTTGTCAGCATTGTTTTTCCAGGATAGAAATCAATGTCTGTATATGGAGTGGGGAGGGAGATAGGTGGAGTTCTGTAGTCCAGCAGGCAGGGCTGACAACACTGGATGGGATTTCAGTGAATGTGTTGTCAAATCAAACAGGAAGTTGGGGGATTTTCTTAAAGGGATAAACCATGTGAACATACAGTATGAGTGTATTGCAGAGGTGTACTGAATACATAGTTTCTATTTTTCCTGACATACATTTTAAATTCAACAATTCCAACTCACATCTCCGATCATGACGGCCTCCTCTGGGCTGCAGCCTGTGCTCCTCAAGGCCTCCAGGAAGAAAGTCTTCTCCGGTTTCCCAACCACGGTGGCTTTGGTGTCAGTAGCATACTCCAGTGCTGTAACAAATGGACCGGGGCCCAAGGCCAAGCCGTCCTTTCCTCTTGTAGTACCTTGCCTTATGGATGGCAATGATTGGTGCTCCATCCAGGACCAGCCTTAGAGAAAAACACAGAAAGCTAGATGTAAGAGAAGCCTCCGAACTCGGAAAAACGTTAGCGCGTTGGGGCCATGGATGTCTATTCATGATTCTCTTGGGACCTCTAGTACAGGGGTCTCCAAACTTTTCAAACAAAGAGCCAGATTACTGTCTTTCAGACTTTAGGGGGCCCGAACTGTGGCCCGTGGGAGTAAGCAATGCCCCAGCATTGCTATTAGTGGGAGAAATAGTGCCCCACCCTTGGTATCAGTGGGAGGAATAGTGCCCCATCGTTGGTGTCAGTGGGAGGAATAATCGTTGGTGTCGGTGGCAGGAATTGTGCCCCATCGTTGGTGTCGGTGGCAGGAATGGTGCCCCATCGTTGGTGTCGGTGGCAGGAATGGTGCCCCATCGTTGGTGTCGGTGGCAGGAATGGTGCCCCATCGTTGGTGTCGGTGGCAGGAATGGTGCCCCATCGTTGGTGTCGGTGGCAGGAATGGTGCCCCATCGTTGGTGTCGGTGGCAGGAATGGTGCCCCATCGTTGGTGTCGTGGCAGGAATGGTGCCCCATCGTTGGTGTCGGTGGCAGGAATGGTGCCCCATCGTTGGTGTCGGTGGCAGGAATGGTGCCCCATCGTTGGTGTCGGTGGCAGGAATGGTGCCCCATCGTTGGTGTCGGTGGCAGGAATGGTGCCCCATCGTTGGTGTCGGTGGCAGGAATGGTGCCCCATCGTTGGTGTCGGTGGCAGGAATGGTGCCCCATCGTTGGTGTCGGTGGCAGGAATGGTGCCCCATCGTTGGTGTCGGTGGCAGGAATGGTGCCCCATTGTTGGTGTCGGTGGCAGGAATGGTGCCCCATTGTTGGTGTCGGTGGCAGGAATGGTGCCCCATTGTTGGTGTCAATGGCAGGAATGGTGCCCCATTGTTGGTGTCAAGGCAGGAATGGTGCCCCATTTTTGGTGTCGGTGGCAGGAATGGTGCCCATTTTTGGTGTCGGTGGCAGGCAATGGTGCCCCATTTTTGGTGTCGGTGGCAGGAATTGTGCCCCATTGTTGGTGTCGGTGGCAGGAATGGTGCCCCATGTTGGTGGCAGGAATGGTGCCCCATTGTTGGTGTCGGTGACAGGAATGGTGCCCCATTGTTGGTGTCGGTGGCAGGAATGGTGCCCCATTGTTGGTGTCGGTGGCAGGAATGGTGCCCCATTGTTGGTGTCAGTGGCAGGAATCGTGCCCCATTGTTGGTGTCAGTAGGAGTAATAGTATCCCAAGAGCCGGATAAAGGCAAACAAAGGGCCACATCTAGCCCACAGGCCGCAGTTTGGAGACCACTGCTCTAGTAGATAACAGACACACCTGACCTGGTAGTATGCAGGCTTTGTGAATTATTTTGAGAAACCAAAACCATTAAAAAAAAAAAAAAAACATCATCTGGAGTCTCTTCTAACACAAAGCCAATTGTGGGCCAGTGCCTAGGACAGCAGGGTTGGAGGGAGCACCACTAAACTTCAACATGTTATAATCACAATAACTTTTTTTAGCTTGCTTTCATCTTCTAAACATTTGTGGCAGAATTCACTGCAGGGGGGGAGAGGATGATGAGAGGAGTCAAAAGACTCTCTGCAGTTCAGGAAACCTGAAATTGTAGGAGATCCCTTCAGGCTTGTGTATATAGCCTGACAGGACATCCTGTGGAAACCAACGCCCTTTCTCTTGTTTGTTGAGGAATTCCTCTGCATATAAAGCAGGCAGCACATTGCCTCCAATAATTCATTGTAGAAGAATGTTTTAATAAAATAAATCGCGACACAAGGGGCGGGGCTGGTAGAAAAGGGGCGGGCCTGTGCCTAGGGTGGTATGTTGGCTAAATAACAACTACTCCTTGAAGAAAGTATTGTTAATGAGTGACAGCTTAAAGGATATGTACACTTTAATCCAGCAATTGTTCTAATGCCCGCAGGCGCTGCTGATTCCCTCTACATATATACAGACCTCAGATCAGACAATCACCGATACGATAATGTGACTGACAGCCAATCACCTGCAATGCTTCTCTACTACTCCAACCAACACATTCCACAAGTGCAGCATCGGGAGTCCATCACTCAATGGACGGGTATAGCTGCCGCCTCTAGGAGGTTTGGACACTAGGCGAATCTTAAAAGGCACAGCCCCATCTAGTGGCTCTACCCCGGCACAGTCCAAACTTGTACATTTTTTGACAATGATCAGTATTTCGGGTTCACAAGACATTTGTGATCTATGATTAATGGTAAGTAATGTAATGGGTTACTTGTTATTTATTGATCTCAAATGTTATACATTCTTGTGTTAAAAATGTTGTTACTAAGTAAAGATATTGTTGTTAGATACACATGAACTGCTCCGTTCAAAAAAAAAAAAAAATACTCTTGCAGTGGCCACAACCCCCCCCCCCCCCACTCAAAACTGCAAGGGTTAAGTCTAGGGGGTTGCAGAAGAGCCTGTATTACATACCCGACTCCCCACTCCAGGACTGGTCTCCTCTACCAAAACTCTGGTCTGTGGGTGGAACCTCGACGTCATCACGTACACTGCAGGGTTATCCACTCTGTATTTTCTGTGATGGATGCAGGAGTGTGACCGAAGCCTGGAGAAGCTTACAGGGGATGCTGTGGTAGATTGGTTGCATGGACTGAGGGAACCTGCTGGAGCGGGGAGGCAAGTATGTAAGCTTCTTCTGCACCCCCCCTAGATCACGTGTCAAAGACAAGGCCCGCCAGGCCATTTCATATTGTCCTCACACCTCTCCTGCAGCTGCGGCACCCCCCCCCACTCATCTCAGCAGTCGGCAGCAGAGAGGAGGACAGAACTCCTACAGATCCTGCACCTCTCTGTGTTCAGCAGACTCCGGCAGCTGACTCCAGCCCTTCTGGTCCTCCTCCAGACCCTGCACTTTCTGCTTCCCAACTGCACCCTCAGCTTTTTCCCGGCAACAGCACAAGGTAAGGGGAGGGTGCACCGTGATGTAAGAGAGGGTAAGGGGAGGGGCTCCTGACATCTGATGTAAGGGGGGGGGGGGGGGGGGGGGGTGGCGAGTGATGGGCATCTTTGGGCTTCTAGTTTATTAAACGAATAAAATCCGCCAATCACAGCCGTCCTTTTTGTTTAAAGATCTCAGCGGTCCACTCTGTGTAAACGTTATTGTTTTCATTTGAACATTTGCTGTCCCTCTGAGAAGCAGTCCACCGCATTAGACTTGTGCTTGCAGCGCACTGGTGCAGCATTTACAGGGTTAAACCTGTCATCAAGGAGGAGACATCCCACATCCTCACCCTTTAACCCTGTAAATGCCGCACCTCGGCACTGCAGCCACATGCATTATGCACAGTTGCAGGTGGGTTGCAGCACAGCTCTGTACACTTATATGGGCGCCCTTCCCCAGCGGTACAGCTTGCCAAATGCAACATGCTGAGTAACGTTTGGTGCAGCCACTGCATGTGTACAGTCCTGAGTGGCTGCATGTCCTTCTTTAGGTGGGCAGTCAGGGGGCGGACAAAACCTTGGCTCAACTGCCTACTTTTACCAACGCCTGACTGCCCATATGAACTGGACCTTAGATGGCAGTAAAAGCAGGCGGTCAAACAGCAGTTTTATCATCTCCTGACCGCCCACCTAAATGAATGCATGCAGCCACTCAGGGCTGTACACATACTGCGCCTGCGATGCTTTGTTTTGCAGCTGTGGAAAAAATGAAATGATAAGTCTTATGCAGGGGTGGTCAATTTTCTTGGTACGAGGGGGGGGGCCTCAAGTGCGCCCATCGACATCACCAAAGGACTGCACCTAAAATGTTGACGAGCATGATACAAGAGATGGTCAGAAATTGCAGACATGGTACAAGAGGTGGTCAGAGACTGCAGACATGATACAAGAGATGGTCAGAGACTGCACACATGATACAAGAAATGGTCAGAGACTGCAGACATGATACAAGAAATGTCAGAGACTGCAGACATGATACAAGAAATGTCAGAGACTGCAGACATGATACAAGAGATGGTCAGGTGCAGACATGATACAAGAAATGTCAGGACTGCAGATTGATACAAGAGATGATCAGACACTGAAGACATGATACAAGAGATGTCAGAGACTGCGGACATGATACATGAGATGGCCAGAGACTGCAGACATGATACAAGGGATGGTCAGAGACTGCGGACATGATACATGAGATGGTCAGAGACTGCGGACATGATACATGAGATGGATACAGAGATGCAGAGACGGACATGATACAAGAGATGTCAGAGACTGCAGACATGATACAAGAGAAGATCAGACACTGCAGATATGATACAAGAGATGGTCAGAGACTGCAGACATGATACAAGAGATGGTCAGAGACTGCGGACATGATACATGAGATGGCCAGAGACTGCAGACATGATACAAGATGTCAAGAGATGTCAGATCAGACTGCAGACATGATACAAGAGAAGATCAGACACTGCAGATATGATACAAGAGATGGTCAGAGACTGCAGACATGATACAAGAGATGGTCAGAGACTGCAGACATGATACAGGAGACTGTGAACATGCTATAGGAGTTGATGGAGACTGGGAACATACTTCCAGAGACAATCATAGACTGGAGACATAATAAAAGAGACTGCTAGAAATCACAGCTTTAACAGGGCCGTAAGAAAAAACAGATTAGTGTCCCCAGAGGCCCCGAGGGATGCACAGAAAGTGCCAAAGGGCCGCAGGTTGAACATCAGGGGCCACACTACAACTGCTCTGTAACCATGTGGAATACATGTGATTGCGGGTGGTCGGTCGGCCACTTTTCAGAGGGGTAGGGAGGGCCGGTGTGAACGATCCCGAAGACAAATGATAAAATCCGGCTCCTATGGACGACAAATATTTCTGTTTCCTCTATGAATGAGAATCAAGTTCCTCCGGCGTCACCGTCCTACACAATAAATATGGACTTCTCTTTTCTGAGTGCGGCCCCATAAACCCGC